GACAATGTTCTAAAATCAACCAAATATTTAATGCGATTATGAACACAACACATTTTAGATAATTGTTTAGTTACAAGAATATATCTATTTGTGTCATACATTGCATAGTGAGCGCTTGTCTTTGTTAACCTTCATTGTGACAAATTAAAAAAAATGCAAACCAGTATTATATAAGTACTTTCTCAAGAATCTAGCTTTATGATTAATGAAATAAACAAATGTAAATATTAATTGAAAAGGAAAAACTATTTTTTTGTTATTTAATTATAAACGTTCATATAAACATAAGAAGATGTGGTTTGATTGCAAATGAGACAACTGTCCACAATAGACGAAAATGACTGAGAAGTTAGCAAATATAGGTTACCGTACGTACAGTTTAGTTACTCGTAAATCTAATCACATTGATCAAAGTCTGGTTTGCAGTAGCGGTCCCAATTCCACCCCAATGAGGTCGCAATATGGTCAAGTTTTGACACTGTGTCGTTCGATATTGATGTCGTTCTAGAAAGGACAACTGATCCCTCGAATTGATATCCCCAGTTATATGTTCCACAATAGTATGCATACACATAGCTGTTGTTTTGAGCGTAATCAAGGACTCGCCATTCCAAGGTAGCATCTGAAGCTGAACTGTAGAATCGAACTATCCCAGGAGTTGTAGCGTTCCACTGCGACACACTCGATTTGACGTCAAAATGTTCGGTTGAGTCATTTAGTTTTAAAATATAATGTTCCTCCGCAATGAAGGCCTGTGGTAGTACAGGGAGAGGCAGAAACGTAATGTTACGGCAATCGTAGCAATCAAATTGTTGGTTCAGTCCACGAACAACATACCAGGTTCCATCAAGACTTGTAAAATCAAACGATTTCTCCACTCTGTTTGGTCTATGACACGTATCGGCTTCTCCATGTATAATCAATGGCAACACCATGCATGTAACAATTAAAATCAACACATATGTTTTCATCATTGTCCTTCAAGTTATAGCAATCTTTTATGAAAGTAAACAAACAGGAAAGTAATTTCACTATATCTATGTTGACCTTGTGGTTCTTGTGCTATCTTTACATTCTGGTATCTTGTTGTCCATATATAAATCGTACATAGAATATGTGTACTTTCAATCACGTATATTTTAAACGCAGAAGAACATGGAAAAACAATGTGTTAACTTGCAGACTATTACACAGTTACAGCTCGACGACTTTTTTTCTAAAAAAATGTCCGTAAGAAACACGTTGTAAGAACTGTTCCTGCATTTCCCTGGTTAAAGTATTTGATCAATTATTAATTAAAGTAGTTTGATGAAGATTTCTTAATACCAATGTTCATTGAACCTTTGTCGCTTGTGTGGGCGTTGGGTTGGAGACATAAATCTGAAAGGACATCTACAAAAGACCTAAATCCTCATAACGAGACGAGTGTAATTTAATGAAAAGTGCCTCGATTGCTATTTTTACTCTAAAATTACAATTACGGCGGTGATGTGAGAGTAGTTCGGCGGTTTTATGCCAATCGATTTCGAGTTTAATATGACATATTGGTGTTCGATCAGATTTTAATTGAAATTTCCTACCAAGTTCCTATCTAGTTCTTAAGCATGAAGACTAGTTTTTATTCACTGAAATAACATCACGTGTACTTATCTTAAAGAACATTAAAAACAGTATTTGCTCATTGTCTTACAGTAAAACATTGATAATTTGTTCTGTGTTTTAATGGTTTCATGACAATAGTCAAAATATAACTTATGAAACAGTAGCGTTTTCATCAGCAACATTATGCGGTATGATTCTACTGCATTTTGTAAACACTGACCAAGGGTCAAATGACACCTTTGGTCGGTGAAATAGAAAACATCTAAAATGGTTCTGTCCAAGTCGCCACAATGTAATAGTTCCGCTGGAACAAAAACATTCATGAAACTTGCTAATATTATTGGTTTGTTAGTTTTGCCTTGTTCGTGCTTTGATGTTGTTTTTCCACAACTTTCTGTATAAATCGACGCTTCGGAATATGACTAGAAATTTATGACATTATTTGTTCGTTCTTTGGCTTTGTTTTTCCATAACTTCCAGTAGAAATTAACGCTTTGGAGTATGACTAGTAATTTAGTATTTGTTCATACTTTGATGTTGTATTTCCACAACTTTCTGCAGAAATCAACGCTTTGGAATATGACTATCAATTCGGGACAGTATTTGTAAAATTCTTTATATATATTATGTCACCTTCAATGTTAGATCCGCAAATTTGTGATAAGAAAATTGTTTCCTTCCCTCAGCAGGATTCGAACCCTACATCTGAGACATCGTGGCAACACCGCCTGCACTGTGTCCAGCGCCCTAGACCACTCGATCGACTATATATATAACTGATATATATTTGTTGATATTTCCCCACAGCTTTGTTCTTCAATGCACAATAGTAGCGTATTTCGCTCAGAGTGATGCTAGGGAAGTATTGACCTTGTAGTGAGGTAATAGTTTTTGCTACAATGTATACTAGTATGTTGAAGTCATCACTGTTACTTTGACTTAGGAAATAGCAATATATTTGGCTTACTTTACGGTATGGGTTTTGCTCCATGTTGAAGGCCGTACAGTGACACGTCCTTTGATATCTGTTGGATAGTTGTCTCATTGGCAATCATACCGCATCTCTTTATTTTATTTTGTGAAGGTCTGTTCCTTTTCTTTTGGTTTTTACATGTACGCGTAGTGACTTTGTGCCATGAATTTATACACCGTATCTTTTCTTTTCCATGATATATATCATTCAAAAAATGTATCATTTAAAAACAACCGGGTAAACTTTAAAAAGTGTCGAAACAAAATAACGTCGTTAATATTTAATTCAAAAAGGAATATTACCAAAACGCTATATTTAGTTCAAAAAATTGTAAAGAACTTTGGAACCATATTAAAGCGTTAAATCGAAAAATGGATTATATTTTTCCATCTAAAATGCAGTATGAAAATCAAACTGTTTAAAACGCCCACGATATTGTTAATACAGTAAATGTTCACTTTCTTCGTTAGCTGAAAACTTATTGGAAATAATACTTCAGATATGGTTTTTTCTTTGTTACAAAATTTTACTTTTAAAAAATGAAAGGAAACAGAAAATTTTAAATTAAATCTTATTTCTGTTGGAGAGGTGTGTAAACAACTGAAACACCTTAATATTAATAAATCAGCAGGTTTAGATAGAATTGGTTCCAAATGTTTAAAGCTTAGTGCAGAGATGATATCACTACATGTATCTGTTCACTAACTTTTCTAATAAACAAAAGTATTTAACATCTTATCGTTTACTGCTATACATAAAGGAGGACCAACAAATGTTCCCTCAAATTATCGTCCAATTTTTATTTTAAATACCATATCTAAGATTTTTGAAAGACATGTATGTACACAGTTATATGAATTCTTGAATAATTCAAAAAAATGTTTCAGGTTTCAGGCGAGGTCATTCATGTCAAACCGCCCTTACTAAACTAATTGACGAATGGTTAAAATATTTAGATAATGGAGAAATATTTTGGATTTCAGTAAGGATAGTTGTCTCATTGGCAATCATACCGCATCTCCTTATTTGATTTTATAAAGGTCTGTTCCTTTTCTTTTGGGTTTTACATGTACGCGTTGTGATTTTGTGCCATGAATTGATAAACCGTATCTTTTCTTTTCCATGATATATATCATGACAGCGTCAATCGGTTTCTTTATGTTACGTCCAAAGAAAAGGCGTTGACATTATGACGTTTTCGACCCCATATGAACATCTCCTTAACGACAATGGAGATAAAAGGCATCGCACGAAAACCTGAAGAGGGAATCATTATGCAAAATCCAACAGTGAAGACAGCGGATTTGTTTTGCATTCCGAATATTAAAGAAATAATGTCTGATTTACCTTTAACGTAAGTTTATTGTAAATACTAACTTGTTTTTTTTCGTTTATTTTCAGTTAATATATTGCGACTTTTTCTAACTTCAGAATAAGAGTCGAGCTTAGTTAATATGTTACATGATTTTATACTTCCACTAGCGTTCACTGGTTGACACGACTGATTTTGAACCATTTGTCTCAAAATATCACCAACCAAGTAGTAGGCACTGGCAGAGACATGTACAGTCTCTGGCACTGGCAATACATATTGCATATACCTTTCATAGAATTTTCATTTAATTGATTTTGATTGTTAAAACAAATAAATCTCCAACATGCAAAGTTTACGCTAGATGACTTTATCTGCTCGTTTGATTAGGTCGCTCCCACTGTACTAGTATTATTATATCTTTGGCTTTCCAAATATTTTCCAGATTAGAAAAGAAAAATGTAGGTCTATATCACACGAAGGTCAGAGAAATGAAGAGAAGTATTGAGCAGCATAAAAGAATGTATAATAGATTACTTATACAGCAAGAAGTAAGTAAAAAGTGCAAAATTTTACAGTGTTGAAAAATGAACTCAGAGAAAAATTAATAAAATATGGTAAAATAAAACAATAACATATTTTAAATAATTAAGTCAATGAGACGACAACCTAACGACACATAAAATTCAAAAGGAGAGAAATTTGTAAAAGTGATAATTCACTTCTTTTCCAATCCTAATAAAACTGTCATATTTGTGATGAAATATTGTTTTCACAAAAAACCAAAAGACAAAAAATTTCAAAATACGGTCTTCAATAATAGGCAAATTTCATGTGGTAGACATATATGAAATATAAAGTTCCATAAAAATGAGATGAAATACAGTATATACCATATATAAAAAAAACTGTTTAAATTCTGTCCTCGTCTTGACAGTTGTGTGGGGTCGAGATGAGGAACCTCTCTGGGCTTATATAATTGGACCCAGCTTCCTTTGTCGACGGATACACTTCCTTATCCCACTTCATGATGTGTTTGTTTTCCCCTATAAGTCTATTTATAGAAACTGTTCTGTCTGTTTTTACAGCTAAGTTGGTTGGTCCAAAGAGATGTTGAAAAGTACAAGTTTCGTCTGGACATAGCCATAGGCGACTTTTATTACTTGTTTGACAAGATAAGCTTACATCAAATACAATCAAAGGAGAAATCTATTAAAAAGCTGAAGGAACTTTTCCAACAGAAGAAAGACATTGCTTCAAGACTAGAATTAAAATATCACACATTGCTTGCCGAGGAAGTCATGACAAGAACAGCAATAAAACTGGTAAACTATTTCCCCCCCCCCCCTGCTTTTTATGTTGATAAAACGGTTAAACTGTGGTTTTAGTTAATTGATAGGACAGCATTTATATTAAGTCATATATTAAGATCTTTTAGACATTGTGCATGTACTTAGGGGAGTAGGATGGTTCAAATATTTGGGCTGAAAATGTAGAAAAAAAGAAAAACAATAATCAGGAGTGTCGCAACTTTGATAATATGCTTGTTATTTTCACATTGATACATGTACCATAAACCCCTAGATTCTTCATATATTGAATTTTCATATTTCGTTCCTACTTTTACTTGACAAATACGGTATTTATTTTAGCTGGAACGCAGTCTGTGGGAATATCTGAAATTTCATTTGGTGGACAAAAAGGAAGGAGGCCCATCATTAAAACAAACCAATGTAAAGTAAGTAATACTGTGTTTATTATTTTGTTTCAGGAAATGCCTCTATATACTCTGTTTTTAATCTATATTCGGAAGTTAATTATTTTGCTTTAGTCAGTGTTAATTCAAAAATTGAGTCTTTGAATTTTAACAGAAGATAAAATTGCGTATTTAACATTTTTCGTAAGCTTTCAACATTTTTTCCTGTTAAGCTCTTTGTCATATCAAACTTTTACAGTTCTATGTACTAAAAATGTGTGTTTTGTTGGCAGGTACTGGTACGATAAAGTGGGTCTACAACATTGTTCTATAAATGTAGAAAACATGAAAGAGAAATACAGCTCTAAATACAAGTTTACTCTTCCTTTGGTAAGTATGATGCAGAACATGATAAAAGAGGGTCTTGAGTGGTTATACAAAATAGAGAATAGTGGGCAAAAAAAAAAGATTGAGAAGAGTGGAAAAAAATAAGAATGGCGAATTACGGGGTACTTAAATAAAAAGAATAGTGAAATAATTGAGGGGATGAATAAGAATAGAAAAATGGCCAAACAAAATTAAAAAAATACAGAAATGAAATATACCCATCCAACCCCTCAGAAAGAGATTTAAACCTAGCATTTATTTCTGTGCTTTATGGCAATAGGATTTGAAATTTTACTCTCTTTCATATTTCGTTGGTGCAAATTCCACGTTTTTTAAAATAATTAAACACAATCCACATTGAACTAAGGAAGTCGTACACTAAATATTCGGAAGCTGAAAAATGGCATGACCTTTCAACATATTCTGTCAATACTTGTTTTATTTGACGAGAGGATGTGAAATATTGAAAAAATAAAACTTGCTTTCAATATTTTCTCTTTTTTATGGGGTTCAACGCCATCTTGACAATGTTCTCACTTTGTATTTCATCTCGAATCAACAGATTGTTTTTATTTTTTTTACAGGAATTTCTAAACCAGAAAGGATTTGATAAAAAGTTACCTCAGCTAGACAAAGCCTACGACATAAAGATACCAATTTGTACAGCTGTTATGAGAGAGAGAAAGAGGGAAAGAGACATATGTGTATATAAAAATAAGATACATTAGTATTCAATAAAATTTCATTATGAATGATCTTGTCAATTTTGCCACATGATCGTGTTTTACTGCATTTTCCCGTTGAATTCCAACATTATAAATTCAACTGTTGCAAGGTCAGTTAAGACCATTGTAATATTTACTTATCCAAAAATGCTTATGTACATAGCGAGGTTCATTCAAGATTATACAAGATCATATATCCCCGGGCTCCTACGCAAGTGTCAGTGATATATGAAAATGAGACCAGATTGTTCCTGTCAGATGCGCATCTACACCTTACAATCATTTTGTACATCCAATATAGTTGACATATCACTTCCAGAGGAGGATTTAGAGAGAACAGGGCCCATTATGGGGCTTCATATATGACAAATGCATACTAGAAGTTTTTTTACAAGTATCGACCCAAACGTTGGCTTGCCAGTCCCCCTTTTCAAAATCCTGGATCCAAACATGATTTCAAGTACCTGAAAAGCGGACCTAAATACGAAAACATAACGTTGACCAATGGACCGTTAAATTGAGGTCAAGGTCAGACGAACCCAGTTAATCTTACAATCATTATACCCATCTAATATAGTTGACCTTTCATCATTAGTTTCCGAGGGATAGACCTAATCACGAAAGCTTTGAGCATTGGAACATGAAAAGAGGTCAAGGTCATGTGAAGCCCATCGGGACATGTACCGTAACACCTAGCAATCCTTCTATACATCAAATAAATTTAACCTATTGGTTTTGTAACTTTCTCCTAGTGACTGACGTGGAATTGTAGAAATACTGCATGGTTTTGTATTCATATTATGATTATATATTTCTAGATTGTGTATTGGAGAAGTATATAACATGCACAAATGCACAAAGCAATCATGGGATGATAGTAACGTATGTTACAATCATCATTTCAATACCACTAAATTGTCTGGTAGAGTCATTTTAGAACAATAACTCCGAATCAAAATTGACGATTTTTTAAATTGATTTTTTTTGTAGATCATGTGTTGCTGACCTTTTTTAGATATCAGTTGCTATACTTTAGTTTATCCAAAATGAAGAAAATAATAATTTAAGATCAACAACCCCATAACAAGTGGCATCATGTGTAGGTATTATCTGGCTGGTCGTTTTGCTGTCAATAACTTTTCTATGTATATTAAAGTTTTAAAGATAATAGGTATTAATTGCCTTTTAAAACATTTTTATGAGTCTGTACTCTGTAGTTGACCTAAGGTCAAACCTTTATTCAAGACGCTTTTTTCTAAATTCTCTTTGTTCAATTCTTGTCTACCACTTTGAAGTACATTCTTGTTATCTTATCTGCAATCACACCACATCTCCTTATATAACATGATGTGTTGTTTTATTTGTTCTCGTGCTGAACGTGCATGGAATATTTGCCATTGGAGGTCAACCATTCAATCATGCATGGTTTCCCGAAAACGGTGCATATTATGTCGTAATTGTGACTTCATCAGATAAACAAATTATGACGTAATTGTGACGTCATCAGATAAACAATCTTATGTTTTTCATTTATATTTCTTCACTCTATGCATTTCCAAACATTATGTGCCAATTTGAAATAGTTGTCAAACAATTTATATCCTTGGGCCAACACTGGGCCTTAATGCCCCTACTCCTTTTTTTCACATGGCTTGCATTTCTGATATCTCTGTAAATGCAAGTAAAGACTAAAAGGCAGTTTGAATTGGTTGTACTGTGAAGCAAAATAAAGAACATGGTCCTATTTCCTACAGTCCAAAGGAACATGAAATGTAAGTCATAGTGATCTACTTTCATTGATCTTAATAACGTAAAATTGAACTTTCAAAAATGTCACTGAGGTATGATTTGGTTTTTTTTTTGGCGTTTAACACCACCACTTTCTATATTCTTGGCTATATCATGGTGGTCAGCTTTTATTGGTGGAGGAAGCAAGGTACCCAGAGAGAACAAACAACCTTCTGTACGAAAACTATAAATCCTTGTAAATTAAGATTGGAGTTGAGCTCACATAGAGTGAGGTTCACACTCACTACATCAGAGTTTACAAGTGATCACTGTAGATGAACTGCTTAGACCACTTTGCCACATAGGCATTTTAGTATATGAGAAATGAACTTGGATTTAAACCTGACCAAAGATAATCTGAACTTGAAACAATGAATGGCGCTATATGTACATATCTGATTATTCAATGCAAAGAATTATCATTTCAGATTTTTTTACACATTCAGTGTACTCTAAACTCTCCCAGACACACTAATGCCTACATTGCAAGTCAGTATGGTGGTACAAAAAAATAACATTTTATGTTTAACAAACCCATATTGCGTAAAAAAAAAAATATGAATTAGGCTTCCATGAAAGATATGTCAACTTCTATCTCGAAATAATTGTCCTTAGAAGAATCTACACAAGTTAAGTTGAATTTTGTCAAGTCATTTTCCAGGAGTTGTGGATAAACAACAGAAGTGATTCCAAATGTGTCGCTAGATGGATGCTGACACAATACTGAATTCAGTTTAAGCATTATGAATGTATATATAAGTATTCTGAAAAATTAGTTTTAAGCCAGCAAAATGTTAAGAGTTTGGCATACAAACTATGTATCCTACTTAGAAAGACACATGAATGAACAGATATTCTTGTACCACAGCTTATTTCATGAGGAATAGAAATTCCAATATAAACATAGAAATTCCAATATAAACAAAGTATACAAGTTCTTGTTACACAAACTGTGCAGCAGCTGAATTAGCAATAACCTTTAATATACCCCTTGTTTCAAGACAAGTATATAACAAAATGTAAGAATAAATCATATTATCTCTCTGCAATTTTAATGAAATCAAATACAGATGATAAATCATAAATATTACAATATTTATAATTAAAACTTTCTTTCCAACCAGTTCATTATATGAACATTGAGTTCATAACTATTTACACAAAGCACTAGATCCATCGTTCACATTTGTTCCCAACATAAGGTTTTACCGTGCTTTAACTTAGTGCTGAATATGTACTTGTATTTATACATTGTCATCTCTATTTTCACATTTCTTAAATGTTATCAACATAAATGAAGAAATTGTCTCGGCATAACCATTTGGGTATAACATACCACATAAGTATATAATATTACTGATTTTATGTTGCAATGTATATAAGCAATGTAAGACACAATAGCACAATAACATTTGTTTCTCAGTGCTACTGTTCAAAGTTATTCTCTTCCAGATAGACTCAACTCCTTCAGCTAATTACCATAAGTCTTGGAGCTATACTCATGGACATAAGCTCCTGGAACAGTAATTTACAGGCATATGGTATCCTGATCTGTGAAATCTACAATACAGAACATACAACGTGTTACAATAGCAACAACACACAATGTGTTACAATACAGAGCACACAATGTGTTACAATACAGAACACACAATGTGTTACAATACAGAACATACCATGTGTTACACTATCATTTTTATAACAATGTTTTGTTCTATCAGACACTAAATCTTATCACAGACAATGACAAATAGCCATTAAATAGATAAATTCCATTTCTTATAAGATGAATTATTGAAACTCTTGACTTCTAAACATTAAGACAAAACTTAAATTATATCAAGTGATTTGATAATTTTCCTCTGCAAAAGGGAGACAACTCATATGTGTCAAATGTCATTATGAATGCATTTTATGTTTATCATACATCTATAAATAGTTCATTTTGATGTAGAAAGAAACTATTTGCTGCAGAGTCTGTTGACAAGGAAACTTCCTAATGAAACATCTTCATACTTTCACACAATCAGTCAACATTTGGATTTTTTGTATTTTCACAAGCTTTTATATGTATCTTTATTCAACCTGTTTTATTATTAAAATACAGACATTTAATTTCAAAATACTTACATGTGTTTTATTCTTGCAACCTCTGCATTCAAAAGTCTGATTCCTCAAGTTAGCAATTGAAATAAGCCCACAGAAGTTACACACATGGACTCTGTATGGATCTGATGCTTCAAATAGCCTCTCTCTCAAAAACTGAGCTGCTCCATGAGCTATCTGACAATCACGCTCCATTTCACCAAAACGTAAACCTCCATCTCTACAAAAAATTTGTTTGATGGTTGGTTGGTTTAAATGCAATAGATTTAAAACTGATGCTTATATATATATTTCCCATCAGTTAATAATATATCTGTGATGAATAATAGCTAAAAATTGAAAATTAAATCAAGAACATATAAAATGTTTGGAGTTAAGGTAGCAATACAGTTAGGAAAAAATCTTAAAATTGACACTCATAATTTTTAACCACCCTCTTTTCCTTCCTATCTAATAAATAAGGCTTACTATTTGTGTTATGCATGTGTATATTCCTGGAAAGAGCATCTTCAATAGATTTCATTTTCAATAGTTAAAAAGGTGAAATATAATCTCTTTTTGGTGTAACCATGGCAACAATCTGCATTTATTTGATACAAAATATTGCAAAAAGGGGGGTGAAAATGTCAAAAAAGTCTCAAAAATTTGGTCCAAAGGAAAATTTCAATCAATTAGAGTGATACCTTTCCTCAAACCATAGACATTTATCTATCAAGAGGTCCAAAAAAATTCATATGCCTTTCTGCTTGTTTTTCCATATAATTGAATTGAAAAGATCGAGCGTCAAATCTTTGTTGATAAACACTACAATAATTTCTGGACCTATGGGCGGTACGGATAGGAAAATACGGACTGTCAAACAGAAAAATGGCCTATAAAACATGCTAAAAACAATCTAAGTGTTCATATAAACCCACTTCGAAGGCTATATTATTCTTCAACTATCTAAAAATCAATTTTATTGTACAAAAACTTATTTTAAAATTTGAAAAATTCACCATGGCCATAATGCGAAACTAAACTTCTGTGTATTGCTACCTAATATGTGATAGTGTTACGCCTCGGTGATTTGACAGCTTATATTTCTACTGTGGTTTTAATTTGTGTAAATTACATAATTGGTTTATATTTTTCCCACTTGATTAATTCAGATGTCCTTTGTTACATTCTGTTCAGCTATTTATACTACAAAGTTGTTCATGTCAAATGAATATACCATACATTGTATAAGATCAACAAGCTGAGTGTTAAATACAAGAAAACAAAAGCAAATATGTCTCCTGACCCAGACATATTATTTGAACTCCTAGCCCCTCAGTATTTTCTCTTACCCTTACATGCTGTTTGCAATGTGACTGAGCACCAAAGAATGATATTGAAATTTTTGGTTTGACCTGCTATCAAACACATCAAACCTACATCCTCCCACCCTCAAGGCAACCATCCTACCAGACCATCAATGTGGTTGATAAGGAAAGATGTTTTCTAATTTTTGTTTGTGTTTCTTATCACTCTCACCTTGTTTTCATCTGCAAGAATTTTTATACAAATGTTTGTGTCTTTGAGAGAGAGCACTTATAATCACACACTAAGTAAAGGCAGTGAATATAATTGTACAAACAGGTGTTGTCCTGTCAATATCTGTACACAGACTGTACATTAAAAACAAACCTAGCTCTTCCTTCCATAGGTTGTCTGTTAAGGATCTGTAATGGTCCTCTAGCACGAGAGTGGATCTTGTCATCCACCATATGCTTCAATCTTTGATAGTATGTTGGACCCAAGAAAATCTGGGAGTTAAGCTTACGACCTGTGAAACCATTATACATGACCTACAAAGTGTAAATGAATTTTTTATTACAGAAAATAGGATTTTAAACAAATATCATTACTTTTACAACATAATAATTCAAATAACTTATAATCTAGATATGTTGTAATAAATCTTAGAAAATGCATTAATTTTAGTTAAATATGAGACAGTTCAAACATGCATTTAAGTATCGTTTGCATTTTAACAGCTTTATGAATATAAAACCTTTCTAAATCACTTTGATAGTGATATAAAATTAACTGTTATGGTCATCTGTCTGTTTTTACATTGAAGCTGTGTGTTATATACTATGAAGCTATCAATTTTTTTATGTTTAAACTTTTTCCCTCTTTAATTTACCTCATTTCCTCTGAGATGGTATCCATACTGATGTAGGAGGTTAGATATCTTCTGCACATTGACAGCATCGTTAAATGGTGTAGCATCACCAATCTCTCCCTTGTTAGCTGCAACTTTCCCCTGGACACACTCGATTAAATGGCCAATGGTCATTCTACTGGGAATAGCATGAGGATTGATGATAATGTCTGGTGTTATTCCTTCACATGTAAATGGCATGTCCTAAAAAATAAAATCGTTTTGTCAATTTATTGATGTTTTATGTTGTGTCAGTGAAAAATGGCTAAAGATTCTCTTATCTATATAAAGATAAAGAGGGTTTTTTTTTAAATTTTGTTTTTTTGTCAGATCATATAAAACATTGATCATATTTAGTCAATGACATAAATCAGAAACAACATATTAAACTATATAAAGTTCATTTTCCCAACCTATCAAGGACTGTTACTCCTGAAATGCAGACGTGAAAATCATCAACATTCATCTTTGACCTCCATTTTGTCATTAGTAACAACATATCCAAATTTGAAAAGCATCAGTTGTACCATTCATAAGTTATTACACTGAAATTTGGCAGCCACCAGCTGTACTTCATCATTGTAATAACCTTTGGAAAACCTGGTTAAAAATACATATTTTGGATAAACTGTTTTCCACTCAAATGTCTTGAACTTGTAATGAGGTGAGAGTATTTTTTCTAGGTGACTTTTAGATGAAAAATAGCAATAAAAGCCCTGTTCCTTTGCTCATGAATCTTTCATGTGGGCGTAGTGATTTAGTTTAATGAATTGATACACCACATCTTTTCTTTTCAATAAGCAGAATGTCATTATTTGAAACTAAAACAATAAACATACCTCTTGCCTGTATGTTATACCACAGGTTCCTTTCTGTCCGTGACGACTAGCAAACTTATCTCCAATCTGTGGTGTCTTTACTGTTCTTACTCTTATCTTACAGAACTTGTATCCTTCTTGGTTTAATGTCACCATCACCTAAATATACACAAACTAGTTTAAACTATTTTATGATTAGTAGTGTAAACATATTTTATCAAAGAATTCATGATGTATAGCTACAAGAGTAAATACACAAGAGTAAATACATAAATACCAAATATACAAGTATTTCATAAATTGGGATTAGGAAATTAGAGCAGTGCTCTTTTATAAATCTGACTCCCTATTTTATGATTAAAATGATTTCTTTAAGAAAAATTGAAATAAACAACTTGCCTGATTAAAGTTATTTCTTATAAACAAATTAAAATAAACAACTTGCCTGCATAACATCTTTTAAGAAGTACAATTTTATAAATGATCAGACATAACTGTTCAAATTAGCATTTACTTAAAAAAATTTCACAATAAATTATTATACAGAGATGCTTTTCAATGACATACAAATTATCAATTTAAAGAAGTTAGAATAAAAAGTGAAATTCCACATCTATACGGAGATTAGGACATGATAAAGAAATGTTTCTGCATCCAGCAACGTATCTCCACTAATTAATGTTGTCCATGAAGTACATTTCCCTGCTATAAACCATGACATAACAAGGGTTAACACTGACAGTTCTTCAATGGACATAATTTTTCAACAGTATCCCATCTTTTCAAATATTTAATTTTTATATGAAATCAGACACTGACTGACACAATAATTACCTGGTCAATTATTCCAGTTTCACTCCTCCTCATAAACACACTAGCATCTCTCTTGGTAAATTTCTTTGCTGTTCCTTCAAGCTGAAATGTACGAAAAACAAACATTATTGTATAAAAAAGATGTTTTCAGTCCTCAAAACTTTTAACTAATTTAAAAAAAAAACAAACATTACACTGTATATGTCTGTACAAATAACAAAACATAATTTTTTCCACACCACCCGTTAACAATAATACTTTTTCACTGAAGATAGTTATTCAAACATTAAAATCAGATATTTACACAGTATTTTTCAATTTGAAAATTCAACTATTGAGAGTGGATAAGTTTTGTAGACAAAAGGGTTTTACAAAGTGCTAGTGTCTGTTTATCTAATGGTTAAATGAAAATTGCCCAATTCAAAGTTCCAAATTCAATATGTTGAAAAATTACACAAGAAAACTTTAATCAAATTCAAGGTTTGTCAAATTTTATCAAATGGGTCAGACCTGGTTTAAATGCATACAGAGTTAGTGATAAACAAGAATGTGTCCATAGTACACAGATGCCCCACTCACACTATCATTTTCTATGTTCAGTGGACTGTGAAATTGGGGTCAAAACTCTAATTTGGCATTAAAATTAGAAAGATCATATCATAGGGAACATGTGTACTAAGTTTCAAGTTGATTGGACTTCAACTTCATCAAAAACTACCTTGACCAAAAACTTTTAACCTGAAGCAGGACAGACGGATGGACGAATGGACGGACCAACCAACGGACGCACAGACCAAAAAACATAATCGTAGGTGGGGGCGTAAAAATGAAATAAAGTCAGTTTCTCTTAAGTTGTACTGGTACCATACAGATTCTCAAACCCATGCAAACGAGAAGTGAAATACGACCATAATTCCCTCAACCAGAACAAAAACTTGAATTTCTATGAAATTTAAATACCACAGGGTATATAATCACATCAAAAGAAGGTCAGCTGTGACAATATAAAAATGAAATCAGTGACTGTTTATACACATATATTCAGATAAGTGTTTACAAGAATGACAATGACAGTATGCTCTACTGTTTAAATTCAACATTATGGAAGAATTGAGAAAAGAGCAAAATTAAAAGCCTTGGCTACCTGCAGAGGTTATAAGCACAGCTTTAGTATAAAATTGAATCAATACTTTATACCATCTCTTAACACAATAATATGATATAATAGTAAAAAATAAACTGTTGGTCTCAATTGCCATTTTACTGAAGGTTACAACTTTCAATGGTATTTGGTGCAACAATCTTTTTTACAGCTTAAATGTAAGTAGTCAGTTTATTACCTCATCTTCACTAGCTGGCATGGTCAATGTTTTACCAATCAATACATCATCACCAGAAACTCTGACTCCAGGGGAGATAATTCCATCTTCATCAAGTTTATCATATATTGCTGGCCTCATACCTGTAGATATTCAATTAATGTATACAACATCCTGCATGACTTTTGATGTTGAAATATTTTCTTTATTTTTTAAGTTCCAACTTTCATGTCATTCACTCTTAGCTTTAAGTGTGGAAGTACAATTACAGAGTAGAAAGTACCATTTACTACCAAAATGACTCTAAAATTTCATGTATTACAATGTTAAAATTTTATACTTATGAAAAACTGCTATTTTAGATTTATAATTTTCCCTTATTACATGTTCTTATAAATACATTAAATAAGCTGTTGACACAGACATATGTCTGGCCTGTATGTAACTTTGATAGTGCAATGCGAATGCTACAATTCAAATGGTTACACTACATGTAAACTATGCAAAATTTCAAAATGGACCAAGACGAGGGGTTTAAATTTTGTCCAAGAGTGTTTAAATGGAACTGTTCTAGCGGTATCCATCAAAATGATAGAAAACCAAACATACCTTGAACATTCTCTCTTGTTGGTTTCTCAAAGATTTCTTCCTGGTCCAAACCTTTTTTAGCTTCAGAATCTTTGTAAGAACGGAAGAAGAAAGACCTGTAAAAATATCAGTTGATTACATTAAGTTTTCTTTAAATTGTGCAATAATAAAAACTGAAAAATTTCAATACTAAATCAATGTATATGTTAATGCTTTAATGAAATGGAATTTAACAATCCTATCAGTTGCACTTTGTAAATACAGCTGTTTCACAAACCACGCCGCTTTTGGGGAGATATATAATATTCATAGATATTTTATTTTGTTTACCTACTGGTTCCCAGATATGATCTCTATGTTTCATCTCATAGAGACACAACTTGGGAATTTTACCAGTATAAATACACATGGATAACAGCCAAATTGAATTCTTTGAAAGACCAAAAATGAAGGGAGGGGTGGTGAATAATTTCAGTATAAGTTTAAACTCTTGGAAATTTGAGGCATATAAATGTTGAAAATATGCTGCACAGCACTATGTTTTGACCTTTGAAAAAAATAGTAGTGCATATGAAAAATATCATTCTAGGATATAATTTTTTAAGAAACTTCATAGTAAAAGTGGCAACAGTTTTAGCCATGAAAGGAGTTTCTATGGGAAATTGCATTGCCTATATTAACAGAATTGCAACTTTTAGGGATTTTTTTTTAAATGTGTGTACTTTATTTGAAATCTCTACATAATCCTATTGAAAAGATAGTATGCAAATGTAAACTGATTTTACAAGGATATGACACATGTAAGTCCTGAAAACACTTACCTGAAATATCCTCTGTCGATGGCAGAAGAATTCAAGATGACAGAATCTTCCTGATTGTATCCTGTGTAAGAGGCAATGGCTACTACAGAGTTAATACCTGCAAACAATTCAAAATATAAATGATAAACCATGACAATCAAGTTCACTGGTTGGAAAGTTTAAAATCTATGCCAGAAAGATTCAAATATAATGAAATTTACATACTACTACTTTTTGCCAAATACACTTTGATTTTTGTTATAACTTTCATATCATATGGTATCTACTTGCACTTGAAATATAAATATGTTTTAATTCTGTGCCAATTATTGTTTTATGTATTACAACTTCTCTCAATAAAGAGCTGTGCCATGAGCGCATGATATGCCTGTCGCTTTTTCAACGAATGAAGTTCCATAACTCCTCAATGTCATATCAGAAATTTTATGGGATTTAACTATTTGACTGAACATACTCATGTTAGAATGCATGCTTTCACTGACTAAAATGCTATTTCAGTAGAAAAATAATCTGTTGGAAATAACTCCAATTAAAACAAGATGTGTGCTTTTGAAAGATTCTTCACAAGTTTTTCTGATGTCACTGAAATTTCTAGGCAAAAAAACACAAACAACATTCCAAGTTTTTTCCAGGTTTCAAGGTAGTGATTGAATATTTATTTATGGATAAGTCAGAGGGCATTCTTAACATTTGTTTAAGGTCTTTCATATGTGATTGTTTGCTTATAAACATGTCTTTGGAAATGATACATATCAAAATCTAATAGCTGGAAACAAATTTTCAAATGGTATGTTCCAGTATGAAGGGTTTAAGTAGAGTTTTCAAGTACTGTCTATTTTTAATACTGCAAATACCAGTATATCTCAAGGTGACTCACCAGCTGGCAGTTCTCTGAATCTGAGATACTCCATAGATCTGGTAGTGACTAGTGGTTTCTGTGGGTACAGCAGACCATGGGCCAAGGTGTCCATTCTGACATGGAAGTTGGTGATATATACTCCCATAGCTTGCTTTCCCATAGCACTTTGGTAAGTATTACGGGGAGACTAAAATCAAAATTTAAATTAATTTAAACAATTCTTTTGAAACAATTTTGAAAAGGTGCTGAGTAAGTAGTAGATGCATCAGTAATTAATACCAAATACAGATATGATAGTTTGCAAAAACAAAAAGAAATTTAAATTTAACTTTTTTCTCATTCAAAAATGATCATGTCTGGTCATTCCTTCTAAACTTTAATACACTTATTATGAACCTCTGTTTGCAAGCTTGCAGTTCAGTAATTCAACTAGTTGAAGTGAATTCCTTTGCTGTAAAAGAACAATTGATATGAAAACGATATACATAATAAAAAAAATATAAACAAGAGAAAAATATCAAAACTAATTATAATCTCTCCAATTATCCTTTGTAACTACAAAGTTGATCACAAAACTAATGCACTCTTAAGACTAACAAAGAAAGCAATATGTCCAATCTAATTGATATACAGAACCCATGTAATGCTTTACTTACAAGGATCTGACAACGCTATATTTTACTTTTGAAGATAATTTCAGGATAATCAGGTTTTGTTATAATGAAACACACCTTCATATATTTGAGAGCAGCATTTTCATTGGTTGTCATGATAATTATCAGAACAAAAAGTAGAACAGAGCATTGTCAGATCCTTGTAAGCAAAGTGTAGTTCAGTGGTTGTCTGTTATAAATCTAATCAGATTGGCAATTTGTTTTATCTTAATACCTGATTGTGATCAGGAAATGGAATAATAGAAGCACAGACACCAAGAATCATGGCTGGATGAATTTCACAATGTGTATATGTAGAACAATATTGTCCCTCTTCTTTCTCAGTCAGATCATCAGGGGTCATGGCCAACATGATAGACTCCTCCTCTAGGGGATCAATGTATTCCACTACACCACTAGCTACAAGATCTTGCCAACTGTAGTTATTGTATTCTTTCTGTTTTAATTGTTTGATATGACTGTTTTTTAACAAAAGTTTCTGATTTTCAACAATAAGTAATGGACGACAGATTCTGCCTGCGTCCGTGTAGATTCTGATTTCTCTATCCTGAATATCTCGGATCATGGACACCTGAAAAAATACAATTTACAACAGTTAGCTTTAAAGTCAATAATTTTATTTACAAACAGTATTCAAGGTTTAGATAACAAATGTGAGGCTTAAGAATAAATATTTCCCCCTTTTATGACAAAAACAAAATTTAGAATGGTAATTTTACACGAAGTCAAAATAAATCAACTGAGCCTTAGGTGTCTCCATTTTTGTTGAAAGATCAACGTGTACCTCAAGTTTATTGACAAAAAAAATAAAAATAATTATATTTTTTATTATTTCCCGAGTTTTTATTTGGGAAGCAACTATATTTTGAATCAGTCAATCTTTGTAAAAACTTTACTTTCCATTATCACTTTTCAGTGCTTAAAAACCAGATAATTTATTAAAAAAGTGATATTATTTAACATTATTCAATATCACTTTTAAAATAAATGTGGAATGTGTTCATGGGACACAGATGATGTCCCCGCTTGCATATCATATAAAGTTATAAATGGACATAACTGAAGAACAGTAAAAGTGACGCTACCCAAATTTGTACTTGATCTGAGTTTTGTGGTAATAAGTATTGTGTATAAGTTTCATAAAATTTGGTTGAGGCACACTTAAATTAGAGAACAGAAACGAAAAATTCAGCAATTTTTCCATTTGTAAAGGGGCATAACTCTAGTACGGTTAAATTAACGCCACCAAAATTCAAACTTGATCTGTGTTTTGTGGTAATAAGCATTATGTACAAGTTTCATAACATTTGGTTGAGGCAAACTAAAGTTAGAGAACCGAAACGAAAAATTCAGCAATTTTTCCATTTGAAAAGGGACATAACTCTAGAATGGTTAAAGTGACGTCACCAAAATTCAAACTTGATCTGTGTTTTGTGGTAATAAGGATTTTGTACAAGTTTCATAACATTTGGTTGAGGCAAACTAAGTTAGATAACGGAAACCAACTTTCAGGCATACGGACGGACGGACAAGGGTAAAACGTAATGCCCCCTCCGCTACTGCGGGGGCATAAAAATTATCTATAACCATACCTCGGATACTATGATGTCCATTTCTCTTCTGAGTTTTCTTAATGTGCTCATCAACTGTTCTGGATCTCTGTGTATACCAACCCAACAACCATTTACAAATATCTTTGTAGCACTATAACACAATCAAAATCATTTAGTATAAAAATAAGAAAATGTGGTATAATTGCCAATGAGACAACTCTCCACAAGAGACCAAATGACACAGAAATTAACAACTATAGGTCACCTTACGGCCTTCAACAACAAGCAAAACTCAAACCGCATAGTCAGCTATAAAAGGCCCCGAAATGACAAATGTAAAACAATTCAAACGAGAAATTACGGCCTAATTTATGTACAAAATAATGAACGAAAAACAGAAACAAACAACAACCACTGAATTACACGCTCCTGACTTGGGACAGGCACGTACAGAATGTGGCCAGGTTAGGACAACTTATCCTTTACTATAAATTTAATAAATAGGTTTTTTTTTTTTTGCATGATGTAAACAACCTAAGTCATTGTTTTAAATTTGATAAAACAATTTAATTTCTAAAAATGAGAGATGAGAATGAGTAATCAATAAAAATTAACAATAGATCAAAAAAGGTTTTAATCAAGAAAGAGAGTATTTAAAAATAATTTTGAAACACACTGTCAAAGTTGGAAATAGTTTTAAACTATTTTTAAACTATCAAAGAATCTTACTCCTGGATTGCTGAAGGGGCAACTTCTTCCAGATTTTCCATACTCCATTCTTCCAAGAACTCCAGGATTGGTGAAGGCTGAGATCCTACAGATATATATGCCATCAAGGCTAAATTCTTCACCAAACCTACAGCGGCTCCCTGTATAATAGATACAGTTTACATATGAAAGGATAAGTATGTACAAAATCATATACAATTTAATTTTCTTTATTCTTTACCGTGGATTCATTATGATTCGTGGGATAACAATTTTCTTTGACTTCCTGGGAACAGGATAACCATGAATTTAAATTGTCATTGAAGTAAAAAAAAAAAATTCTTATATGCAGACTTTGGCAAAAACACGAAATCAAATATCCACAAAAAATACAATGTTTCCTGAATCCATGAAAATTAATGAATCCACAGTACCTCATTTTATTTATTTCAGGAGTCTCAGACAAATGCTTATGTATTTCCAATAAAATCAGTTACTGTTAACCAACAAATTTTTGCAGACCTTTATTCAAATTTATTCCTTTGTAGCCAACATTGAGACAATTTATTTTTGCAATTTTCCAACCTTTTAAACATATTTATATAAGGGAAGTTCTAAGTTTGAAATATTTAGGAATTTTATAGTTTTCTTTTCTTCTACTCAAGAAAGTTGCAAAAATAATTCACTTCAAGGATAAGTTTCATTTACAGTATTTGAAAACTAGTAACCATATGCTATGCATATAAGTCATTTCAAAAATATTCACTTGACAGTGAACTCAAATTCAAATTCAAGATAGTTACAATCTACAGTACATCATTAACCTTGAGGAATAGCTAATTGAACTTGACATTGCTTTGAGAATTCTGCATGATTGCCTAACACAATTGAGTTGTATGCTACAATGAGAATTTTGTTTTAACAGTAAATGTAATTACATGTTTTAACAGTAAATATAATTACACACAAGACAATTTTACCTCTGGAGTTTCAGCAGGACATATCATACCCCACTGTGTGTTGTGTAACTGCCGTGGACGAGCCAATTTACCATCTCTACCAATTGGAGAATTCAGACGTCGTAAATGAGACAGGGTGGATGCAAATGTCAATCTGTTCAACACCTATAATGCAATCAACATAAATGAATTAAAATAAAATCATTTTAAAATACAACACAATTTTTTGAATTATTATGAATATTGTTAGTGTTTCATAAGGCTCTAAAGGCTGGCTGATATAGTATACTATTGCTGACATATTGAATTGTAATTATGGTGTTATATTATGTATATTTCATCAGGACTTTAACTTAAATAGTCTAATCTATATTCATATCAAACTAATATTTAAGGTTTATAGCAGTGATTTCATTGGATTTCAACTTATCACCGGACACCACACAAATTTAAAGGCTGTATAAGGTGACTTAACGAAAAAGAATAAAACTACATTTTTCCACTAAATGTTTATGTCTACTTTTCATTAAAAAATTCTCAACCATTACAAACATTTAATTAGATTTTTTCCTTTGTCAAACATTTAAGGATAGGTTTGAAAAAAATGGAAATGTGGTGCAATTGCCAAACACAGCTTCCCACAAAAACATTTAAAGTTAATATACCTGTGATACTCCTGCTCTGGCCTGGTGAGCCTTTTTCTGGTCTCCCCAGTTCCCTGTAGCCAGAGAGTATTTCAGACCATCTGTTATAATTCTGGTTTTTATGGCAAGTTCTAAATTGAAGTCTTTTCCTCTGTCAATGAACTTTTGTGCATACATCCTGACTTCTTTCATCAGGTTACGAAACAATCTACAAGATAACGTTTTAAATATCAAATATGGTAATATATTATACTTCACTGTTGCTTAACAATTCAGATTTAGTTGGAATGAAAGTTTTTTCTTTTTTTTTTCTTTGTTACACAAGATACATGTACCAGTCTCAACAGAGACTAGTAATTCCATTTAAACACAAATCTTACCAAATACTATTTGATTTGTACAGACCTGCATGCACTTAAAACCTTTGGGGTTGACTTTCTGACCATAGACTCTTGCTTTAGCCCAAAGAAAAGACATGTTTATTCCGGCACTAATTAATATGTACTTGTTTTTTTATAATTTCATTTAATATCATTATATTGTGTTGATTTGGTATATAAATTTTTTTATTCAAGGTTATAATGAGTAGCACATATACATTGAATCTTTGTTTTTTTGTCTAGTCCATTGAATATAATTGCGGACAATGAAATAATATTCTTACCCTCTAAACAAGAAAGCTAATAATGGTCCAGCCAGATCCAGACGTTTGTTCCCATAGTGATCTCTGTCATCGACTTCTCTTCGTCCAATGGCAGCTAATAACAGTCTATGAACCATGTACCTTTTATAAATAATGAAATGGCATAAATGTCAGGAAACAATTTGTTTTTATTTTAGCTTCTGCATGTTGTTTTACATAGAAAACTTTTGTTACAAATCAAATTTCAGAAATTTAATAACAGCATCAAAATTCTGATAAGAATCAAAGAAGTAACCTCTACAAACATATTTAACTGGATTTTAATAAGTATATTTCAATTACAAAATATTCCTTGATTTTAAGTTATCCTTTTATACAAGAGAAAAGCATGGGCATGATGCATTTTTGTAAGCCTGTCAATAGGTTTATCTATAAAAGTGAGGATGCTATTTCCTATGAATACTAATTGCTGGTGAGTGCAATCTTTACATTTAAACTTTAATAACAGAAAGAATTTGCTGCATTTCTCAGCAAGGCTTGCATGCTATAAGTTGAAGAAAAAAAGAAGAAAAGTAACAGTTTATATTGAAATCAAATGCAAAAAAAAAAATTTCATAAGGGGTTCTGCGGAGCCTGCTATTGTTGTCATCAGTGTAAAAGTGTAATATTGACTTTAAAAAGTGAGTCCATTTACCAGTAAAATATAGAAATATAAAAAAAAAATTTAATTTTCTTTAGATGTTCTTGGTATTGAAGATTAGCTTCTCTCAAAGTTTCATAACAATCGATGGAGGTTTACAAATGTATGATGTCAAAAAAATTAAATCCCAGACTGTCTGTAAATGTTAACTGTAAAAAACTATGTCTATCAGAAAAAAAAAAAAAAAAAAAAAAAAAAATATTTTCAAAAGTTTGCTTCAGACAGTATCTCTTATTGCGAACCCAATAATAATAATAATAATAATAAATTCTTTATTTAAAGAGGGTAAACTCAGTTAGTTACAATAAACTAATCTTCCCTGAGGCCCTCACATACAAATTACAATACAATCAAAAAACAGATATTTACACATAGTTAATTTACAGTCAATTAGTTCAATGTAATATTACTAACATGATAAGATATAAGGCTGTTCAAGATGTACATGTAGTCAAAAAATCAAATACAAATATAAATAAAAGAATATACAAATACATTGTAGAAAACATAATCTTATCAGGACTGTGTTAAGTACTTCTTGATACTTTGTTTAAAAGTATAAGTGTTTTGAGCTTTACGCATTTTGTTTGGTAGTCCATTCCATAACACTGATCCAGAATAAACAAAAGATTTCTTAAATAGCTCAGATTTTGGCTTAGGAACTATCAGATTACCTTGAGTGACGCCTCTCAGGGAGTAAGGATTATTATCTGATTTCAGTTTAAACTTTTGAACTAGGTACATTGGTGCTTCCATACGCATACATTTATATAGAAGTAAATATTTGTGGTATTTTATTCTATTGTCAACTGTCATCCACCCAAGTTCTTTAAATAAGGGGGCTGAGGGGGATAAAGGAACTGCATCTAGAATTAATCTTGCTGCCCTTTTTTGGAGTTTTAAAATTCTTGCTATCCCTTCATTTTTACATTCACCCCAAATAATACAGCAGTAGTCAATCAGGGGCAGAATATACCCATTGTAATATGTTTTCCTTGCATTTATATCTAAAAATTTCTTTATTTTAGAAAGGAGGTATATTCTGGATGATATATTAGCACAAACTTGGTCAATTTGATTTCTCCAGTTAAGTGTGCTGTCAATTTTAACACCTAATAATTTTTCACATGAAGAATTTTGTAATACTTTTGAATCTATTATTAAGTTTGGTTGATAAGTCTGAATTGATAGTTTCTGCTTTGTTCCAGTAACCAAACATTTTGTTTTATTTGCATTAATGAACATGTTATTCATTTTGCACCACTCTTCAACCCTGTATAAATCTTCTTGAACATCATCATGGATATTTTCTATGTTTTTCCCTGATTTATGAAGAGTGGTGTCATCAGCATATAGGTCTGTTTCACAATTTTCAATGCATAAGGGAAGGTCGTTTATAAATAGCACAAACAATAGAGGACCAAGAATAGAACCTTGGGGGACACCAAATTTTACATGTTGTTGTTCAGAGTAAACATTACAAATGTTTACCTGCTGTTTTCTGTTATTCAGGTATGACTTGAAAAAACTAACAGAAGCCTCACTAAATCCATAAATTTCAAGCTTTAAACAAAGAATGTCATGATCTACCAAATCAAAAGCTTTTTTAAAATCTAATAAAATTGCTAGGTTTAAATTACCATCATTCATTTCTTGCAACCATTTGTCAATGATATTAATAAGTGCAGTTTGACAAGAATGCTGCGGCCTGAAACCAGATTGTGTAGGGTGTAAAAGTTTAAGTTTAGATAAGTATTTGTACATGTTATTAGAAACATGCCTTTCTATTAATTTTGATAAAGTTGGAAGAACAGATATAGGTCTGTAATTTGTTGCTAAAAGCTTGTCACCATCCTTGAAAACTGGTGTTACCTTAGCATTCTTCAGTAAAGAAGGATATATACCAGTATCTATCATTCTGTTAAATATGTATGTGAGAGGTGATGCAATAACAGGGGCGCTTAATCTTAGGATTTTTGGTCCTATATTATCCATACCAGATGCTTTATTTATATCAAGTTTTGTTAACTCATTAAATAGCTCATTCATGATCACTGGTGGTATAGAAAATTTATCATGTTTATGTAATTTATTTTTAACAAATTTACCAAGATTACTGAAATCTGCTTTGTTTACAGGTGTATAACTTCCTTGTTCTCTTAATTTTTCAGCACAGGAAGTGAAAAAGTTATTAAAAGTTTCTGCTATTGATTTTTTACTTTTAGTTGTATTGTTATCTTCTGTGGCTAATTCATATGGTGTATTTTTAACTTTTGGGTTCAGACTGTGAAGACATTTCCATAAAGTTTTAGGGTCATTGGAGTCTTTTACCATATTTTTATAATAATTCTTTTTTGAGCTATCTATGATATGTTTAGTTTTATTTCTCCAAAATCTATACTCACTCCATAAACCAAGTGCATTATATTTATCTCTCATATTCCTAGCGTAAATGATTTCACTGTTATACCATTCAGGCTGTCTGTCCCTTTTTACTCTCTTTTTAACAACAGGAGCATGTTTATCTAAAGCTTTGTTCAACATATCATAAAACAATTGTAGACAGTCAGAGGGGTTTTCTTCAAATTCAATTTTATGAAAAGGTGTAATTTGCAGATCTAATAAAAATTCATCTTGGTTGAAATTTTTGAAATTTCTATAAGTAATTGTACTGTGTGTATTCTTTTTTCCTATATTTGCTTCTTTCCTTGTTAAACAGATAGGGTAATGGTCACTAATTGCATATCTACACACATGTGATTCATGTACCATAATTGGATTATTGACATAAATATGATCAATCAATGTACTAGAATCTTTTGTTACCCTTGTGGCATCTACAATCAGTTGTTGAAAATTGTACGATTCTAAAACGTTCAGCCATTTTTGAGGAGGTTTGTTTGGTGCTTTAAAATTAAAATTAAAATCACCCATAATTGTTATATCTGAATTCATGGTCATTGCCACTCTTATTTCTTTTTCAAAATCATCAACCCAATCTATCAGTGACTTTGGTGGCCTATACACAAAACATAATAAAAAGGATTTTTTGTAATCTGGTTTAATTTCAACCCACATTGTTTCAATACCCCCTATTTCGATGTTGTTTTTTCTTAAAAATTTAATTGTTTCAGAAAAATAAACAATCAGACCACCCCCACCTTGTGATGTTCTGTCCTTTCTTTCAAATACATAACCAGGTACTTGTAATTCATTATCAGTAGTGTGTTTTGTTAAAAATGTTTCACACAATCCTAATACATCAGGTTGGTTATCAGAAAACATAAGGTTATGTTTAATTTCTTCATATTTACTTTCAATCCTATTAACATTATGAGAACAAATCCTTATACCTTTGGATTTACTAAAACCATAAGAATTAAAAATCTTATCATTAGAGTCTATTTGTTTCCCTGTCAATGCATGGTTTTCTAAATTGATTAGATAATATATACAAACAATAATTGCTAAAGTAAATACAGAGACATAGGATAATTTCACATCAATCATTATGTTGACCTGAGGGAGAGGTAACAAAAAATTATCTACATTAGACCCATCATCAAACATTACACAGTTTGTATCATGCTGTTTAATACCAAGTAATGTATCCTGTCCAGATGTCTGAGATTCAGTGTTAAAATTATCAGAACTAATCAACCCATCATTAGAACTATAAAGTTTGACAGTAGACATTTCCTGGGTTGTGTCAAGTGAGAAATGACTCTCATTCTTTTCTTTAATTGTTTTTCTAGTGTTTCTAGTTTTCTTTATCTCAGAAATCTGAAGCCCTTGTGACAAAGAAAATAATTTACACATGCATGGAAATAAATTGCATTCAGAACATAATATTGTCAGTACATCAAATTTGTTTGAAACAGATGTAAAATTGGCATTTTCTTCTTTGCCATTTTTTCAAGCAGTACAAAATTTTAGTTTGTGGCCATACCTATTACACTTGAAGCATTTAATTTTCATATTAAATCTACAGAAGGATGTTTTATGGTTAAGTTCACCACAGTTCTCACAGTCATCATGTGAATTGATTATTCCTATTATGTTATCTATTGTTCTGATGTATCTTGATGTTCCTCTTGGATTGAAATGAATACCATCATGAACATAGAAATGTTTGTTTTGATTGAAGCTGTCACTCATATACATTTCATACTGTCTTATAAAAACTAGTCCAAGGTGTTGACATAATCTCTCTAAAACTACATTTGCCCTGTAAACATCTACATCAATCCTGGGAGGGAGTCCTGAGACTATGATGTTACAGTCAGAGTTACTACAAGTACGAGCTGCTAGGAGCAAACTTTCATATTCCATTTCAAAATCATTCAAGGATTTTCTACCACTTATGTCATTTCCACCAACTTGAAGGATAATATTCTTATATGATTTCAGGTCCATATTCATGATTTCCTTTGATATCCTATTAATTTGTGCCCCTCTGAATGTTCTTATGTGGGTCTGTGATAGGCCAGAAGTTCTAATCCCTTTAAGTATTGAAGATCCAATGATTAAATTTTTGTCACCTGATTTTGTCACCTTCTCTGAACTATGGTTGTTGATAGTTTTTGGATTTGGATTTGAGTTTTTATGTTGGGATTTTGGTTCGAGGACAGGTGGGCATTTATTTTCTGTGCGTTTCAACTTGGAAAGTCTTGGAGCTGGAATAGGTCTTGTCTGTGTTGGTGCATCACAAGTGTTGACATATTGAATTTGTGATGTTTGGCACTCAACAGAAACAGCAGAAAACTCAGTTTGTGTTGATTGCTCATTGCATTTTTTCACTACTAGTTCAGATTCAAGATGTTTAATGATATTAATTAAATCCTCCCTACTTTTGCCTTCGTATATAGAGTTGGTACTGATATAATTTGATTTCAGTTCAGTTATTGAATCATTTTGGAGATTGAGGCTCTTCTCTTGATTTTCATTTTCAGATATTTGAGAGTTTTCTACATTTGAATCTATTGAGCTATTGAAAATGTCTTGAATAAAATCAACTGGTGTTGATGACCTTGGTTGAGATGAAATAATTTCCTTTTCAAGTGATTCACATTTAACAACAAAAGTATCAATCCAAGTAAAAACATTGCGACCTTGCACATTAATTGTACCAGTACTTACGTATAGTGTTACTGTCACTGAATTGTTCACAGTTTTATATATATTTCCATATTGAAAGTGACTCCTTATAAAATTTAAATCATTATCCAAAATTCTTTGAACATCCTGTATCATATGTGATGAGACATGAATAGTCACACTATGTTTCTTTGGAGATATTTGCAAAAAGTCTGGTACATTTTCTGCTGATAAATTCAATGATGAAAGTTTTCCACAGTGCCATCTCTATCTGGTCAAGGTATTTAAACTTTTGTAAGTTCTCTTGTCCTCTTGTCCCATCAAATGAATACAATAGCTATTGTTATCTGTGTAGTTTATTCACTGGGACCTTTAAATTTCGTCTAAGAGAAATCTATCACTCATTGATTAATTTACCTGAGTCATTCAAATTTCTTATATATAGACAAAAATACTTTTTTTATACTCATTAACTGCCTGTGATGATGTATTTATTCAAAATTGATAATACATGTATATTATCAATCTTTTCAATATAAACACTGATTTAATCATTAAAATTTGATTTCTAACAAAAGTTTAAAGTAATGTTCCCATTGAAATTTGCATTTTTGGGGTTTTTGTTTAGTTATAGAATACATTTAAGTAGGTCTTAATTTGAACATCATAATTTTAAAGTTTTTATTTGTCAAACACACAAAAAAGGACAAATTCTAAAATTTTGTCAGAAATTAACTTTTATTGATGTTTGAATCACTGTTTACATTCAACAATTTGAAAATATCTTACTAATATTGAATAAATACAACATCACATGCAGTTTTGAGTATAAAACATGTATTTTCACCTATTTAGAAGATTTTTTGTTACTCAGGTAAATTAATCAATGAGTGATAGATTTCTCTTAGAAGAAATTTAAAGGTCCAAGAGAATAAACTACACAGAGAACAATAGCTATTGTATTTATTCAATAGGACAGGTGAACTTACAAAAGTTTAAATACCTTGACCAGATAGAGATGGCACTATGGAAAACTTTCATTGGGTTGCAATAATCATAAAAAAAGTTTCTGCCAAAGTTTCATAAAATTCCATGAAGCTTTGAAGTCCATTTATCAGTAAAAGACTGAAAAATAAAAATAAATATTTTCAAAATTTTGCTCTGATTACTGTATTTTGGTCATAAACAAGCTTCTGTCCAAATTTCCTAAAATTCCATGAAGGTTTGACAAAGTAATTAATGTCTAAAAAAAAACTGACTGAACCTAAATGTTGACGCCGCCGACGGAATCTAGGATAGCTATGTCTCGCTTTCCCACATTAATGTCAAAGGCTCAACAAAAATTAGATGCATCAACAATACTTTGTCAATTTTTACATAGTTTGACATGTGTATATTACCCCAAGAAGTAAGCTTTCTTTGTTTCACAATAATCACTAACACCAACATGAGGTAACATTTCTTTCTGTAGAATTTCTCTAGCATATTTGATACGCTTTTCTTTTGTCACACCAGGACGAGCTCCACGAGCACCAATAAAATTCAAAGCAACGTTCTGTTCTTGTATAACAAAGGCTTCATCTAAAGATGGTTTTACCTGAAAATATAACCATAGATTTAACAAAGCAAATGCATTGTAATACTGAAACAGGAGTAAAAAAAATTCTCATGAAACAAGTGATTTATAATTCTCATCTCGAAACATACATCAAGTACTTCTCTTTTCAAAGGCATTTGTGGTCTCTCAATCATCATTATTTTGTTGTTTTATATCCAAATTTTATATGATATGTATGTTTTTATCATTCCGTAAATCTAAATTAAGATGTGTTCCCAATTTGATGATACATAAATATGAAACCTTACTGTATTTCAGTCATGATTTAAAAAAAAATGTATATAACTATATAGTTATCGCAACTCATAATACTCGTAATATCACTTACCATTTCCATCATTTCTGGATCATCAAAGTCATATATAATATGTTCTAGGATATCTCTATCTGATACAAAGCCTAGGGCTCTGAATACAATGATGATTGGTATCTCCTGTTTAATGTAAGGTAGAATTCCAATGATTCTTTGTCCTATAGCACTCTTCTTGGCTCCCTGAAAATACATGAACCAGATCATGACATCAAATCAATAAAAATACTGCTTCAATATCTGCAAATCATAATATACATGTACATGTATGGAAATAATATGAGATCATAGAAATTTATTCTTATCAGAAATATATAAGATTTTTCTAAACCTTTGCACTATTATTGTCATACCGTAGAAAGGCTTGTATAGTTCGCACTGGTACATAGTCCGCACCCCCTTCTCCCCACGAAATTTTAGGTAAAAAAACTTTTTGTAACTGTTAGAGAAGGTCTAATGAAACATCATCAAACAGAAGCTGAAACTGCTTGTAAATGATTCTAGAACGCTTCATGATTGTTAAAATAAGTTTAATTCACTTAAAAAACAATTTAGAAACTTGTGTATGTTTAAACAGGAAGTTTAAAAAGCAGGTGTAAAAGAAGAAACTAACCGGTGAGAGTCGAAATCCGTACATAACAGATATCACTATAATACGACTTTGAAAGTAAAACAGTTCCATCCTTTTGTAAAACAGTCTTTAATATATCTATCACATTAATGTTTGAAGGGTCTTAAGCTAATACAAACCATATTAGTCAGTATAAAACACCAAAACGGAACGAACAATAACCGATTACGTTTTGTAGTTTACAAATTCTAAGCTGGTTTACAGTGGTCTTTTTCACTATGTTTGTATCGTTTCAATCAAGCAGATAGCAGTTTATTTCAACCAATGCATTGAAAGAAACGAGAAATTTGTAATGAAAGGTTTAGTTTTTATATTTATCAGTATTAATTTGATATTGAATAGAAATAACTTATTAATATGGATGAGTTAAAATTATTAGTTTGAAAAATGATAAGAGCGCCCTCTACAATATAAATAACAAAGATGGCGGACGTAAACAAACCACCTCGCCCGCGAAATTGAAATTTTTCTCTTATTTCTTGCTTATTGTACTCTATAGTCCGCACCCCATCTGGAAGGTCCAATTTTGGAGAATAAAACCGCGGACTATACAAGCCTTTCTACGGTAGCTATACAGTTCCTCTATTTACAAAAAGAGGTATGAAATTTGTGCTCGGGTCAAGGCCATGTCCTCCCTTTTTCTTTTTTCTTAGGTTCTCTATCTTAACATAGATAATACTGTTTTATTTAATACTACTCAAGTAAACTGAATATTCCGAAAGATTTGTCTGACTTCTAAAATTGAATAATGAAAAGTCCTTAATTGACATTGAAATATTTATTACTAGGATCAACACATTTCTGTTAATAAACTTGCATTTCATAAGTCGAGTAATCATGCAGTGTAAGGGAAGCAACTTTTACTTATTAATTTTACTGCATTTCATAGTGAAGATCTTAAGTCTAGACAAAATATATGACACAAAATGGAGGATACAATTTGAATCATAATTTAAGAACTTACACCACCACCTCTGGCCATCATGTTAACCCACAATGTGCTGGTTGGCCTTGAAGAATGTTCTAAACAGGAACGAATTTCTGTTTTATATGCATATTTGGAGTCTTTTTGCTGGAACACATATACTGAAATAGAAATAGCATGGTTCTGCTCAATATGAGATATCACAGAATGAGAAAAAAGTTCTTTAAACTGAATGATTTAAATGAAAAACATTACCAAGACATCAAATGCAATACTTTCAGATCCTTAAAGTTGAATCTTCATATTTGAATTTTATTTTATAAAGAATCTGTTAAAAACTAAAACAAAAATTCCAACTGATCAGTATGAGTGTTTTCCTAGATCCGTTAAGGATAAAATGTCTCTATTTTTGTTGTTGAGAAAACTAATAAATGTATTTGTAACATTTAAAAAAAATTTCATTTACATTAATGTTTTTTACATTTTATTTATTTACCTGTATTTGTAGCCATCTTCTCCTGAGCAATGAGCACTTTCTCAGATCCATTAATTATAAAATATCCTCCAGGATCAAGAGGGCATTCATTCAACTCTGTCAAATCACGATCAGTCAATGCATTCAACAGACAGTAGGTTGATCTCAACATGATTGGAATCTTGCCAATAAAAGTTTTCTGATGTTGTGTCTCTACTGGATTCTCATGTTCCTTAACAACTGTTTTAGTAATGTCAACATACAAAGGTGCTGAGTACCTATAAAATATACACACACATTTTCAATAATGAATAAAAGGGAGATTGAATATTGGTTCAGTTCTGTATCATACACATTTTTTAAAGGTTTTCCATGCAAAAGTACATGTACCAGTGAATCTAATATTTTTCAATGTTTATAAGGAAATCACTAATAATACACCAATGAAGTAAAAAGTGCCTGTACAAACCACACTTCAAACATTATTCTTTTTTTTTAAATCAAAATACATGTGTAAATGTCAGATTTAAATTAATAATGTAAACATACCAGAGAGTATTATTTCTATGATTTCAATAAATGAATATTTCATTTGGGTTTATTTTTCACTCTAACATAACAGACTTGTACAATAAAAATTATTCTGATATTTTTCTGGCATTTTTACGTACACAAGATTGAACTTACGTTAGATTCCTCAGTCGTGCTTCATTTGGCATCATAGGACTAGGAGCACCATCCTTTTCCCAATGAGTTGGTTTAGATAGATAAATCTGTTCAAACTTCAACAAGTATCTAGGCTGCAAAATGGAATAATTTTTTCATTTGATTTTTTTTGTTATTGCTGTTTATCATTTCAAGTTAACTGTGCATAGCATCTTTTCATTATTTATTGCTTCTGCTTAATGTCCATTGGTTTATAGAACTATGTTTGTAGCATATGTTGCTGATTTTTATGCAAGCCATACTTCACTAAAATACAAATTCAATTCCAACGATTCTGTGTCAAAAAAAGACAAGCCTATTAATAATGCCTAACACAAGTAGACCAACTAAGTCTTCAAAGAAAGAAAGTTTCATGTATGGCCTAATCAAAGCTAAATGACTTCTGTAGCTTCTCTAAATTTATGGCAATTCAGCTTTACATAATTAATGTACATGTATGGCATATTTTTGACACCAACATTTTATTTATTGTTTTGTAGTAAGATCTAGAGATGTAATTTTTTTTCTGAAATTTGTTCATGAATGCATGCACGTATACATTTTATGCAGTATTTATTTTGTATCTGTGGGTTCATATACATGATATACAGATGCAGAAAACAGATTAAAAAGAACTATATAATGTATATAGATATAGTGATATATAATTGTAGTCATAAAAACAATCATATTCAACTTTCAATGTGACCAAATAAAATATTAATTGTTTCAGATATTAAATTTCATTCTTGTTTTGTGTGATCTTGTATTGACTTACTGGAGTTTCAACACCACCAGATTTGTGTTGAGCTTCTGCCTGTAAATCTATCTGTGGTGAATCTTCTACGATTCTCTGTACTGACATTTGTATAAACTCATCAAATGAATCTAACTGCTGTCGTACCAAACCTTTCTCGTCGAAGTAGGAACTGATGACAATCCAGCAAGCTTCCTGCCATAAATCTGGGGTGATTTCATCACTGTCTTCCTCCACTTCATGATTATCTACAAAACGTGTTTTGTTCATACATGTTAGTGGTATTATGTACAATGTAGTATACAGTTCACAAAAGGTGGTTCAGTCAAAAAACTCTCTGGATGGTGATTTTTCATAAATTTGACTCTATGCATCATGGGAAGTATATCACAGGATCTTAAATCATAGTGTTACGTGTATCACCACACATCACACTGCAGATTCACAGTGAATCAGTCAACACAGTAATTTTTGACTGAATCTCCTCATGTGTACTGTAATTGTATAAATTCAGTGAAATTGGTCATATAGTTAATTACATTATGTTTGTTACCCTTTTTAGACAGGACCTTTGCTTTGTTTGGATTGATCTTATCCAGTATTTTAGGACACCCTGATTTGAAATAATGATGTTTTTCATTTTTGCCTAATTTGATTTTCTCTTTTCCAGTATTATTCGTCTGCTTTGCATCTGCTTATAATCTAGTTTAGTGCTTTGCTAGTTTGTGCTTTGCTTTTATATATGAACATTTTACTAATTTAATATAGAGGTCTTAATTTGTATGTCTAAAGTGTATGTTATATATGTCTTATTATTAAATGATACATGTATGAGCAAATCAGCCCTAATACAGATAAATCAGCATATGCAATACTGATGATGTTGCCCTGTTGATATAAATCAAGAGTTAATATTGCTTTTCAGAAAGGGCCAATACGGAAAAAGCCGTATTGGCCCAATGCAGAGCTCCAGATAAGAATTCACAAATTGGGGTTTTTACCCACCATTTTTTTATGTAATTGGGTGATAAAGTTTTTTAATTGCATTATCAATTCCAATTCACCCCTCAAGCAAATATCAAATTGGGTTTTTCACCACCAAGCTCCTTAATGTATTGGGTTTTTTTCATCAACACAATATTGAATATTTAGGCATGTTATAATCACATTATATCAACCCCAGATGTGTTTCCATCTTAAATTTGTTTCTTTCTTTGTATATGTGCTTAGCTGTTTTATTTGGTTTATTCACTGACGAGCAATTGTACGTTTAATTTGTGTCCAGTTTTAAACGTTCTGTCAGTTTTGTATTTTCTCAAAACTTATGTAAACTGCAGCTGGTTTCACTAGTTGGACAGTAACTAATTGCCTTTCTAGATCCCATATGATCACCCTACAGTTTATAGTTGGGGTAGGTGTTGCTAAGTGTTTATATTTTTATGTAATATATGTGAAATTTAGGTGCTGTAAGAAAGTTTTGCCAGTCCTTTCACCTATTTGCCAGATCTACTTTTTAATAAAAATAAAAAGTAGTTCCCAGATTCCGTGTGTTCAATGGACGCTTCCTAAAATCACTAGCTGAGTCTTGTTATCAACATAATTTTCCCTCAGCTATCAAAAAGAAGCCGAAAACATGCTTCTATTCAATATTTTTATCGGACATTTACTTTCGTTTTAATTCATTGTTTGTTATGATAAATCCCGAGCCATTCGAAAAAATATGACAGTATGTCACACGCTAATTGGATAAACGCAGAGAAGATCGAAATGTTTTCATAAACACGTGTACCTTTTGAGCAACGGAAAATTCCAACAGGGACCCATTACAGCTACTTGATGCAGGGCTCTATTTTAAGAACGAAAGGGCATTTCCAATTATAAATATTATAAAAATAGATTTACGCGGCGACTGTAATCAGATAAGGGTAAATAACGCAAACGATAGCGAATAAAAGCGTTAAGAACTCATTGTTTTGGCATATAATTGGGTTTTCCTTTGAATTAATTGGGTTATTGAACCCTGCAATGGGCAATTGCATTGGGTTTTTAATTATTTGTATTGCGTGATCACGCAAATACGCAGCTTATCTGGAGCTCTGGCCCAATGGCTAATACGGGACGTTCACTTCTGGTTTTAATTTTATTACGCCTAAGCTTACTTAACTTTGGACGTATCGTTATGCATAAAATACATTTGTATCATATTTTTTAACTTAATATCATACAATAAGTTTAAATGATATTCAGTGTTTTGTAACGTCTTGAAACTGAAATATTTCACACCCTTTTCGAGAACGACTTTCAATTATTATCACTGTTTCATTTCCGTTGATCAATCACCAGAACGCAGACGATTTAAGAGTAAGAAAATTTAAACTGTCTGATTTATTCTTCCCAGCTACTTTATATTTGCTAGATAAAATGAATTGTAATAGCATAAGATTAAGTACTTGGACGAGAAATCAGAAATTACATATGACAAGTTGACAAAAAATCCATCATGAATGCAAAAAGACAAAGTTCAGATATCTTCTTCACGGTAAGTTTCGTAGTTTAATCGAATGATTAAAATCATTTAATAAAAGTGTTATGAACTGGCTGTTTCTGTATTGGCCCTGTTATAGATTCTCGATCAGCTGTATTGGCCCTCGACGACTCTCGGGTCCAATAGATGTATTAACACTTTTGGTATTTAGCTGAATTTTGTCTCCGAATGACCCTAGATCTGGCTCCGAATAACCTTCTGATGTCGCTAAACAATCACTTTTTAATTATGACGTCATTTGTTTTTAAATTGTGATGCAACGTTTTGCAGGAACTTGTGTGATTTTAAGTAATGGCTGACAAATTTGCATACAAGTGTAAATATGTCTATACAGCTAACCTCGAATCTATAACAGGGCCAATACAGAAACAGCCAGTAAATAACACTATAATATTGTATGTGTTGTCGGCAAAAGGCTCTACAGAGCTTATCATGTTTGTAATGTTTCATGTAAACCTGACTTAAAATAAAATTTTCTATTCTATTCTATTCTTCTATTCTATTTACTATTATTGTGGTTGTTGTTTCTGCAGTTAGTTCAGAGAATACTTTCTGAAATTGACTATTTTTCTGTTGAACATGTTGAAGGCACATAAGCAAGTTCTTTGGGCGATTTGTTGTTTTTGTCTGTTGGTGTAATCTGGTTCTTTAATCCTTTTTAGGAATCCGAGTTCGAAGCGATTTTCTGAGGCGTCCAAATCAGAAAATCGCTCTGGACTCAGAATCCCAAAAGGGATTACTGGTTCTTCTACTAGTAGTAGTAGGTCAAATATCATTTTCTCAAATTAGACTCCAAAAGGAAGACATTCTCAATATAATTCTTCAGTTATCTCAAAACTATAAACATGGCAATGTTTTCCTTACTTATACTGTAAATACAACACTTAAAAAATCTACTGTTTCATACTAAGCTTTGATCATAATAACTGATTAACAAAAGAGAGACTGAAAACTTACAATGTTTTATTGTTAAAAAAAGGTATAAATACTAAAGGGGCGATGTAATTATATCAGTGCTAACCTTCTTCTGGTAAATACATCTTGGTATGATGTAATTTACAACTCTTTCTTTATTTTCAGTTAGTTTTTTGTATCAGATGACAGTGGATTTCACGTCGACCTGACGCAGTTGAAATGCGCCATTTTAATGCCGGCAATTTTACGTATTTATAGATATAAACATCCGTTCGATAGTACTCGGACTTTTTCAATAAAATATGATGATGACACAAAAATAAAGAAAGAAACAGTATACAACTACGGTCTTTAATAATTTTTTCATCGATACATTCTTCAATAAAAGACCAAACCCGTTTTAATCCACTAATACTCATCACACGCATTGGGGATGTCCGTGTTTGTATCTTTATGAGTACGTCGAAGAATCTCAAGTGGGCGTTATTACATCTTGAACGGAGAACACAATTAGTCCCTCTTTTTCTTTTGTATTTTTGTTTGTGTTTATTTTTTTTAGCATATATTCCTTCTTTTTTCACTTATCTTAATTTATTTAATGTGTTATTGCTCTTATTCATGAGACAATGAATGTACTTCAAAGTTCAATTACTCTAATCATTGTAATCATTTACTTTACTTTAGTGTGTTATAATTCATTTTAAAATTGTATTGCTCAAATTTTGGGGGACATGTTTGGTTAACATGGATAATAAAAATATCTTATCTTCTGATATTACAATAACAGTAGTTTATATATGCTGCCCCTCATCCTAATTTTCCACTGGGAATAGCATATATTATGTCCTGATCATTTTCCACAATAGCGGCATCGGCATCATATATGGGAGGGCCAGCATATGTCATCATCACAGCCAAGGGTTACGAGAAAAGGAGCGGGTCGGATCGTAACCCTTCTCTGAAGAAGAGCGGGTCGGATCGTAACCCTTGGCTAACGAAGATCGCATATGTAAGCGACAACTGTTATTGAAATATAGTATGGATAAGAGCATGTAAGAACACTGTATAAGTGAAAAAAAAGTTGAAACATTTAAGAACATATATTAAAAAAAATTGGAAAAGACAAAGGGGAGTCCATGGCCCAAGCGCCTGTGACACAAGTCTTATTAATTTCCTGCCAATCCTGGGACTTGATATAGCATTATATTTGGTTCCAGTGGCAACTTCCTGAAAGGTACAATAAACAAGAAGATGTAAGTTCGCAACCCAGAAAAACCACGGCGATCTCATCTTCATACAAAATTCGAATCATTCATATCTCAGGCTAGATTAGAAGGTCACTAGTACGGAAGCCCATTTAGGACCTCTCAAAAATATAATTTGAATTCGATATCACGAATCGTAGAATTACAATTCAACACTAAAATTAGATCTTTGAATATTTTGTTTATTGGTGTAAATATTGATTTTGTTATCAGTAAATTAAAACCATACTAAATATTGTTATACACATATGCACATTCACGGTACTATAATCTGTCGATACCTAAATTTTGGCATTGCATAAGATCATGTTTTTCTCTGACTGTTAATGAAGTCTTTGTACTAAATCCAGTGGATGTTGGATGTGTACTGATTGATACTTTAGTCTTAGATACATTTTTTAGTTGTTATTGGCTTAATTTGAACTAGCTCTCAGTAACTGCGCGTACTCTCAGACCTGTACTTTGTGTTTTTTGTTGTTGTTGTGAGGGATGTATAAATATCCTAGCTGCCACGTCCGGTCGGAGCTTTGGATAGATGTTTTTCTGGTTTGTATCGATCTGATGAGTAAAGCCCTTTTCAACTGATTTTTATAGTTTGTTCTTATGTTGTACTGTTACACCACTGTCCCAGGTTAGGAGAGGGTTTGCGCCTTCAAACATGTTTAACTCCGCCAAATTCTTTATGTGCCCGTGCCAAGTCAGGAGCCTATAGTTCAGTGGTTGTGGTTGATTCGTGTCTGTCATACTAGCATTTGATTTTCGTAAATTGTTTAGGCCGTTAGTTTTCTCAATTGAATTGTTTTATATTTTTCATGTCGGGGACTTTTATAGCCGACTATACGGCATGGGTTTTTTTTTCTCATTGTTGAATGCCGTACGGTTGCTTATAGATTGCTTACATCCACTTCATTTGAACTTTTTGGATAGTTGTCTCAATGGCAATCATACTACATCTCTTTATTTCTATATTGACAACGCCATATGGCAAAAAAGAAAAAAAAAGACCAAAAAGGCAAACAACAGTATACAACAGTACAAAACACAACATAAAAAACAAAAGACTGAGCAACACGAACTCCGCCAGAAACCAGGTCAATCTCAGGTGCTCCGGAAGGGTAAGCAGATCCTGTTGTACATGTGGCACCCGTCGTGTTGCTCATGAAAGTACAAACTCGGTGATGAGTCGAATTCGGTAGGCCACATTCGGGGAAAAGGAGGACGGGATTGTGGTTACGACGATCGATGGAACAAATTATAAACAATGACGATTATAAACAATATGTATAACCGGCTTCAGCTTCGCGTGATTGTCAGGGTTTATCGGGAAATCTTTACGATAGTTTGAGAGAAGAAACTGATTCTGTTTCAATGATCTTTAAGTTTGATTTGGCCATTTTTTTTCAAAATAAGCAGGCATTTAGTCGTTACATCATATAAAATAAAAAGATTTGGTATGAATACCAATGAGACAACTATCCAACACAGACGTGGGCAACTGTAATGTTACTGTACGGCCTTTCCACCCTCTACGCATAACCCATACCGTAAAAGGGGCTATAGAAGGGGTCGAATACGACAAATGCAAAACAATTCAAACAAACGGCCTGGTTTATAAAACAATAAACGAAAACATTAAAAGAGGGACGATAGATACCAGAGGGACAGTCAAACTCATAGATCGAAAACAAACTGACAATTAAATTATGTCTGTTTTGACTTTTATTACCGAATAACCCGAATTCTGCCTCCCAAGTAAAGCGGCAATTATAGATTCTGTTTGAAATGGAACCTATACCGACTAATACTCATTTTCTGTATAAGTTACTTATTTCTTTAGATTTATTTGACGGAAAGGCAATATCTGTAAGCCTCCTGTAACGGTAATTTAAGATAACACTTTCAAAAAATAAGGTTTTATAATGTTTGGAGCATTTACAAAACAGTACATAAGACACAAATGACTGTTAAAATCTTATCATTTTGGATATAATACAATTTATTGATGCCGATTGTAATGTTCCAATTATTTATATCCATAAAAAATAATTCTTATTCAAATACATTGACGTTTAGAATTGTACTCGATTTCATTTCACGATTGTCATGATGTCAAATAAAAATTCCTCAAAATTGTCAAACAAACGAATGCCATGTAAATACGATTTTTATCATTCTAGAAACCATTACGCGGAGTTAAGAAATACGGTAGCTACAGAGGTTTAGTGAGCGAGGTCTCATATAACACTGTAAGTTTAAGGCATTCTGTCACGCTGTGTGAATTTGCAAACAATGATGTAACGTCATAGAAAGTTTCCGAGTTAACGTCGATTTCCGCCCAAGGCGTTTGCGAATAAATCGTCATTGCGTACAGATTTCTAGCAACCAGCTCTACGATATTTTATCGTTAATCGTTAATCATCGTAGGACACACTATCCTATTGTGGGTGAAAATCAACAATGGGTGAGTTACTAACTATTTGTTTTCATTTACATGCATTATCTTGTCCGTATCTTCTTCTTTAGTTATACAATATTCCATCGACATCTTATGACTACTTAGTGATGAATACCAACTATCATGGATTCCATTTTTTAAAAAGAAAAATCACAAAGAAAACGCTCGTTTCATTAAAACATTTCCTCAAAAATAATGCAATTCGTTTTTCTAAACTTATTTCTAACGTATGCATACCATTTAAAACCTAAATGAGCAAATATGAACGAATAAGGTTAATAAAAAAAAAAATAAAAAAACAAAACCAAACAAAAAAACAAAATGTATCCTGAAGTTTTGTTGTATAACTGAAGAAGAAGAAGTTTCATGCTTTACCTATGAAGGCGGTGTTTTTCTCTCACTTATCTATACTGCCACACACACAAAAATCATTCATTTCATTTTATGTCTGATTACGATAAGATACTAAGCTATTCTCTTTGAAAGATTTTGCTGTGAAGATATCAATAGCTTTTATTCTGTGTAAAATAGTTTTATATGAAATGCTATCGCCAGCAAATTTTGTTCAAATGAAATTAGAACTCAACCGAATTGGTACGGACACAAAAAAATGAAATAAGAGGTGAACTATTTGGACTTTTCAGAGCTTCTTTTTCTCCTATAGTTGAGAGTTATCATGACTAAGTTATGAAATATAGTTTGCAAAACGGGACGGTTTACATTCAGTTTTATTGGACAGACAAATCCTGTTTGTCTTAATATTTATTTTTGCTAAATAAATACTGTTGAACGTTCGATATAATTGGATATATTTTGAATTGCATACCCTTGTATTTCCCGATTTCGAACAACATGTAATGATTAAAAAAAATGATAGTATTGATCCGTTCTCATTTTGCATGGTTTTTTTAAATTGTGATGTGTTTCTTTTTAGTAAAATTGTTGAAACAACCTTTTTTAATGCAAAATTACTAATTCCATGATATGATTAGATGTGATTAATATTGTCCTAAAATGTAATGCTGTAAGCTGAAAAGTTAAATACAATTCACATCGTGTAACCTATCAATAATTTCGGTTAAATTTTTTGAGGATGTGACAAAAACTGTGTTGCATCCCTCCACCCTTTCCACACAATTACCTATGTATGGTTATATCTTTCAGATATCCATGAGCATTGTAAACTTTCTGGATATTTAATAGATATCATGAAAATCGTTGGTCCTATGACATCAAATCGTAAGTATACACCCAAAACACGTATAACTTTACTTTACTAAGCGGTTAGAAACGAAAGTTGATGTCTTATCATGCTTCACATGTTAATATATACCCCGAAAAGTTACAACAATTACATCAGATAAAATTGATTGCTTTCTATGAAAATAATGGCAAAAAACTTTTGAATTATGCATCGGAGGTCTCTTTTTCTTTAAAAAGATTAATATGGTTTTGTTAATTTTACCATGTTTTTAGTACATGTACTTATATTTAAATGTTGAATACATAAAATCAACATCATTCATCCTCTA